GTCACAGGAGGTTCTTTTGCCTCGTTCTGAATCGCAGACAGTGGCGGAGATATGGCTCTGTGCGTACCTGGAAATTGTGTTTTGTGATGTGAACTGGAGATTTTGTCTTCCTTCCTCTCATTGTGGTTTGAAATGCACTCATCTATGCCCAGAAGTGGTAACTGGGGAGGCGGTGAAAAGACAGGGACTGACCATGCTGGCCTCAGCGGCACTGCCTGTCGTGTGCAAAAGGACAACTCCTGACACATCATTGAGTCTAGCCTTCAGATTTCCTTTAATAAACTGAAAAAAGAAAACATTTTATATATTACAAAATATCTGTACAGAGGTACAACCCAATTTTCGTTTTGTTTTTTAAAGTTTTTCTCCCCCCTGCTCACCAAAGCTCAAAGGATCAGAACGATTTTTATTTATTTTTTTTACTTTTAATTACAAAATAATGCAACCAAACTGAAGCGGCGCCGGCCTGCGGGGGGCGGCGGGGAGCCAGCGAGCAGGGGCTGGGGCTGGGGGGTCAGCACGACCTGGGGGGGGGATGGCAATGCGCCGAGCCGCGCAGCCCGTGCGTCGCACTGCAGGTCGCTCGTGCAGCTCGTGTGCTTCTGCAGTGCCTGGATACCGGCGGGCCGCTCTAAAGCCGTTCGCAGTGCCTGCGTCTTCCTGCGCAACTACGCCTCGTCCGTCTGTCTGCGGGTCCGTCACACAGAAAGCCTTACAGTTAACACAGCCCTCCTTCACACTGCCCAGGCCCAGGGAAAAGACAACCTTGTGTCGACAGCAGGGAGAGGGAGGCCATGGGCCCAGGGCACGAGTCACCCGAGATTTCCCACACAGGAAGCTGACCCACAGGCAGCGTGAGAATGTGAACGTGGGGATCATGCTTACAGAAGAAGCGTCGGTCGGTCACGGATGAACTGTACTTAATGGGAGGAGAACTGCTGGGTTTGAAAGGGCAAGGCGCAAACTTCACACTGAGGGGCAGGTCTAGACAGGTACAGGTGGCCCTGGGCACGGAAAGACAGGAAGTACAGGAAGTCAGTGCCACAGGAATGAGGTGCCCAGCAGGCCTGCAGTCCTGTGCAGGAAAAACCAGGGAACTGTATTATTACAATAAACAGCAGCAACATTGTCAGCCCTCAGTTTTTTTTAACTAAACAGCACCTTCCTAATCAATTCCCCCCCCTGCGCTGTAGTGGTCAAAAAGAAACGAAAAAAAAACTTCTACTAAAAAATAAGAAAATGTAAAAAAACAAATCTCAATAAACTCTCCTCATTTTGCAAGAAATGTCACTCTAGAGTCATGAGGCCAAAACAGCACTTGGGTTCTGCGGTCAAGTCTGGGTCATAGGTGTCAAAGACAAACACCCCCCCCTTGTCCTGTGGCCCGCAGCAGCCCCCTAAAACCCAGTCCTCATTCGTGCCTTGTTCAATCCATGTGGGTCCATTCAGGCTGAGAAACCATGACCAACATAAAGATCCCCCCTTCCATCGTAGGCCAGTGCCTCCCAGGAGGAAAACAGAAAAAAAGACGTGTGATACAGCATGAAACTCAAGAAACATTCAGCACCCCAAACTCGACAACGTCTTCAACTTGATTTGCTCTCGTGAAACGAAACCTGCAAACTGAATTTGCCCTTTCCTGCGGCGCCCTCGACAC